AGCAGCTGACGACGACGGGGACATGGACAATCTAGATCCTTCCAAACCGTCTGATGGTGCAGAAAACTTCAAGAATGACAATGTCGAGACCCCATCTTTCAATGAGGATGAAATCGACTACGGTCGTGATTCTGATCTAGAAGATGAAGACGAACGAAACGTGATCATCGAGATCCAGAGGAGCACACAACAATATGAGGGGAAGAAACGTCAAGATGATGAGCCCGAGGATGAAGACGTCACCGACGACTTGCACCCGGAGGCGAGTCGACCGACAGATCGTGATGAGCCGGAATACTATGCACAGCATGGAGCGACCGAGTTCGATCCCGAAGAAGGAAAAGACAACGAAGATCTCCCCATCTATTGTCGAGTACCGGAACCACGAATCTATGCGCATCAAGAGAGAGCCTACTGTCAGGACGTCTCCGTGAAAGCATCGGGTTTGATGGATAGGTATGTGGTCAAATGTGTGCTGAACATGATCTCCCTGATGTACAAGAGCTACTATTGCACCAGCCTTACTGACTTCAAAGCAAATTGGAGAAAGAAACGTCTGGATGTGATAAGCAAGTTCGGTACAGGAGATTCCACTGAAATCGATGACGATGGGAGACCATTGGATCCATCAGATGATATGATGTTAATCTTTGCCAACAACAACAAGATTACAACTGAGGAGGCCTGGCACCGATTCAGAGGAGAGCAATTCATTTGCAAGGTAGCACTCATGATCCTATCATTTGGTCATACTCCGCAATCCTTCAAGGAGGAATATGGCAACTTCGAACACTCCACCGACTTGACTGATGCCCAGCTTGAGGAGTTGAAAGCGAAGAAAGCCAGCGCAATGACTGAATTGGTACAGAAGTGCATCCATGCGATTTATGGGTGTCGGACATACTCTTACTTTAGAACCGACGTTACATCACCCTACCACAAAGTGATCGATCCTCTGGACATCATGTACTCGAGAATGAAGAGCAAGTGGGAGAAGTCTATTCTGCTGATCATTGATCAACATGAGATCAAGTTGCCCCCACAAGCTCAGGAAGTCATAGAGTCAATGGCCAGAAATCCCAACATTGGACATACAGAGAGATGGATGAGCGTAGTAGAACATAAGCATGTTCAAGCTCTTACCAATCGTCTAGGCTTTGGAGATAAGGCCAAGGAAATTCAGGGCAAGAAGAAGCAGGCAGCCAAGGCAACAGCTAAGTCAACATCAACGACTAAGTCTGAAGCGAAAGCAGCATCTTCGCCAAGAGCTGAGGCAAAGCCAGCATCTACACCCAGGAGTTTCGGGCCCTCATCAACAGAAGAGAACAAGGTGAAGGTTTCTCTAAAAGCCAGATCACATGATAAATCACCATCCAGTGCTACCGATGTGTTCGAGCAAGCTTTGCAGGAAGATCTTGCCGCCAACGCACATGCAGCAGAAGATACAACTTCTTCATCATCCCGAGGACACTCCAAAGGAGGAGGCCAATCTGGAACATCTTGGAGACCGGCGCTAACGCAAGAACGCCGCGAAGTACCTCAACCTTCTGAAAAGGGAAAGGGAAAGAGTAAGTCCAAGGGAAAGTCCAAGAAGGGAGAAGATGATCGGTGGGATGCTCAGGGCAGCTGGGATCATCGTGGATGGAGAGGTTATCACCAGTGGTGATTTCTTTGAACGACTGTGAGGATACCATGCAAACCAGGGAGGAAGTCATTCACCGAATGTCTATCTGACCTGAAACGTTATAAGTGTATCATTGCAAATCGTCAATCTGATTTGATACCATGAACCTAATGGAAGGAAGACAATCACCGACTGTATCTCCGACTTGCCGTTCTGTAAGTGTATCCAAATCAAAACCTATATCTTTGAGAAGTGTGAAGTCAGTTGCCGATGTGACGTCTACGTGGAAGTCACCAGTTCGGATCTACATCAAAGCGATGCTCTTTTGAGTGGATGCTGAGCGAGGCCTCGTGACTGTCTCACTTGTTCAATTCGATTTTTTTAAAGGTTCTGAGCCATAGTTGCACACTTTATATGTAAAAGTCCGCTTTAGTCCAGCATGTTTTGTAGTATGAGCCTCATATGAGTCTCGCGGCAAATCATACAATTTCTTTTGCAGCACTTACATCCCTGAATTTTCGTGTGTGATCGGAACATATTGTTACCGTTCACATGGGGGGTGCGAATGGAAGTGCAGCGACACGTACAGTGCAACTTGTACATATATGTATATACCATATGTACTTTGGCTCAAGGATCAAGCGACTAGAAAAGGTGCGGTTTCCGTTCCGACGCTACGCCGCTCATGGACCGTCAGTGATAGCTTCAAACTTCGCTGATTAAGATCCACTCGCATGTTTTAACATGACCGAAGAAGACTCAAGTAAACATCACTCTTAAGCTAAAAAGAAGAGCTGCTGTCATCTCAGAACCAGTTCCATCATTTCATTGATGCGGTCATGCCTCCTGAGAATGGTTTCAAGCCAACATCGACATAATATACTGTCATAACAAAAGCTCTTGTTATCTCTTGTTGCAAAGAAAGACTTGAACAACCGAATAGCAGCAAACATTTACCTTCATTTAAAAGTCAATCCAAGAATCTAGTCAGCCCTCTCACTGCTTGTCTCCCTTTTCTCCTTGCATCCTCCTGCTTGTCATTGTCCTTCTTGCCACCACCCCACTTGCCATGATACTCCTTGTCATTGTCCTTGTGGCCGCCACCCTCCTTGCCAGCATCCTCCTTGTCACTGCTCTTTTGGCAACCATCCTCCTTGCCAAGTTCCTCCTGGCTACCACTCTCCGTGTCATCCTGGTCACTAGTCCACCTTCTTCTCATCGCCCACCTCAACCTTCTTCAGCCCAGTCTCCACCTTCTTCTCATTCTCATTGGCCTGCTCATCATCCACCTCAAGCACATCTGGTATTGTTTGCCTCAATCCTGGAGCCTCCGCGGTGACGCCCTGAGGCTCTTGCATGATCTCCTCGTGCTTCACCTTCTTCTTCACCTCACCAGGAGTTGGGCAAACCTCCGACAGGAAACTTCATGGCGCAGGAAAACTCCTTATCCATTCAACATCCATTCAAAGAAGCACTACCAACACATGGCTGCTTCTTTACTTGAGCTTTTTGAACACGGCCTGTCCATCAAGTTGATCCAAGTGTAAATCCCCTTCTCTAGTAAAAACATAATTGAAAATGGTTAAGCCATTCGCTGGCCTTGGAAGCAAAGGAGCTGCTTGCACCGAAGGTGGTCTGGGTGTCCAGGTTGTGTTGCAGGCGCGCCACAAGTTCCCTGTTTGCTTGCGCGGACAGAGACGCTGGACGAAGTCCTGGCAGGACTCAAAGGCGACAGCGCAGAAACCGAAGAGAAGGCCCTCAAGTTGCAGGACCAGGTACTTGCAGCGTTGACGCCAGACCTCGATGCAAGAAACGATTGCTTCCACCCTCCACCAGACTGCCATACCCAACTAATGACTGCCATACTCAGTAAGGTCTGGCGCGCCCAGAAACCTAAAAATCCATGGTAAGTGCATGTTGTCCTGGAAGAAAACCTGCCCTTTTGGACATGGCCAGCTAACATCAATGTGTTACTTTTTCTGCTTCAATATCATGTTCCCAAATATGTACTCATAACTTATAACCAAATATTACGATCTATCTAAATTAATTGAGGTTCAGATTTACTAAAACGTTTACGTATCTTTTAGCACAAGTTGTCCTTAATAAAACCAAAATGAATTTCAGTGACTTAGGGTGTTGTAGTTAAAACAGGGCCCAGCGGGAATTAAAAGTCAGAACTTGCAGGTACAGGAATGTGCATCCACATTCCCTTCTGGCTGAATCCCATAGCTTCGCTGGCATGGCTAGGGAAAAACAGCTGCCATGCCCCTTGCATTATCAGAAAAACCATGTGGTTCTGTTGAGTGTTCTGTTGCGTTCAGTGTCAGAGCAGGCCCCTTTGAGTATATATAGCTATACGGAGCCTGTGTGTGTTTGATGTCACAGTGCGCAGAACACCCGTGGCGTCTCCACCGTCTTCGGCGTGACGTCCGTCTTCGGTCTGGGCCGGTCGGAGGGGGTTCTCCTTTCGTTGAACATATGGGCATGTGGGGTTGCAAAGTGTCGCACACATGTTTTTGTTGCGCACTGCGGAGAAGTTTCTATATAGGAGTTCCAGGTTCCGAGCGCAAATGCAGGCGGTGAGTGGAATGTGGTTGCGTCGAAGAGGTTTGTTCCAGTGTAGGGTCCTGTAACGTCACTGGACCTCTCTTGGTTGTTGCATGAACACGGCTTGGCAAACATACGTCCTTTCGCGTGGCTCCATGCCGTACCGGGAAAGGCACGGTGTCTACATGGGGCGTGGCGCGCTGTCGGTGTCGCATGGCAATTGATGTGGCGCACGGTGTAGTCTGCTGACGGCTGCTTCGGCGCCAACACGCACTGAAGCTCGCGCGGGCTTTCACGCAGGACATGCACGCAGAATTGTAGGCTGATGCCAGTCGATGTTCGTAACCCTTAGTGGCCCAGGGAAAACCGGTCCCAGAAGGAAAAATTATCGTCACCAAAATGGAACTAGAGGACGATCAGGAGATGAAACTGCGGAAAATAAAAAAGACCCTAGTGCTTTTGTTGATTGAGTCCAGGTCACCAATCCTCTGGACGTCCTCAACTCGCTCGCTCCAAATCGAGCTGAGTCCAAAGCTACCTCTCTCTCCCACGGTCTCGCAGTCAAGACGACGGCTCCGTCTCTTGAACTGGCCGTCTCAAAGATCGTTGGACCTGGTGGTTTTTTTGGTTGGTCGCTTTGTCGTCGTCACTTCCCCCTTTTCTTCAGCCGCTCCTGCTCCCTCCTGTCGCACGGTATCTCGCTAGTCGCGCTAGTCTGCTATAGGTCAGTGACTTGTGCGAGAAAATGTGCGGTGCATTGGTCAAGACCCATTGGTTTCTTTGACCCCCTTTGGGGGGGGGTCGAACTCGAAACTTGGAACTGCAGGATATTGACGGGGCCGAACATGTGCCTGAGCTGCACCGTTCGAACCGTGCACGAGCGGTGCACTTCGTGAAGGACCTGGTGATGGACGCACGGAGTGTTTTGAGGCCAGTCATGCAGAGGTATGGTCTAGAATCACCACTTTGCACCAGTTTAGGGTGGTGTTGTGGGGATTCATTTGGCTGGACCTAATTCCTCAAAGGTTGATTCTCCCTAGATCTTCAAAAGGTACTTAATTATATGCCTCGTTTGAAGTTTGCCTCGTTTGGGAAAAGGTGCCTCGTTTGCGAATGACAAAGAAAGTTTGCCTCGTTTAGAATAACACATCACATCAACCCTCAACCCCCCCCAGCCCACATCCGCCTGCCTCAGCGCACACACACTTTTTCTCGGAAAGGGAGCTCACTTTTCTGCCCGGGCTCCCAGCCGAATGGGAGGGCAGTGCTTTTGCCACTCCAACCGATATTGGATGAGACACTTTTTGATTGTTTGGGGACCCACCAACACACTTGAAACTCTTCTCGAAGTTCTGGCTACTTTGCCAACAAAGTCTTCATCAGCCCAGCAGGCGCTGCCTAGGCAACAGAAGAGGCACGCTTTTGTGGCTCAACCAAACACTAGGCCCCACACTTGCTGGAGATAGAATGTGGTGACACTGCGGGTCTCCAAGTTGATGCTCCATATCAAGCCTGACTTGGATACCCATCAGGTGGTTCAGCGGACGAGGGACATGCACATTTAGCCGAGAAACACCAAATGCTGAAACATGTGCACCTTTGGACGTATGTAAAAAAGCTTCCAGCCCAAGCCCGCTGCAAGGCGGGCAGCCGCCCCATATGATTCCTGAAATTCACCAAGTGGAACCGTGGTGATTCAAAAACTCTCACATGCACACGTTATGTTTTTTGTGTTTTATCCGCGCAAGGCTCTGACATATCCCACCCATGCTGCACCGCTTGCTGGGCTTGTCCACGGTCCATCCAAAGACCACGGTACACCAATCTAAAGAAGCAATTCGTGGCCGAGATCCCTCACTTGACCACTTTGAGCAGGTTCTGGCAACAATCCTTACCAACAGAACTGAACTCTTGCCAAGAGAGGTCAAACGGACATACAAGCAAGCCCTTTTTCTATTGAGAAAGCGGGGGGGTGATGTGGATTGCTTGTATGTCCTTTGGACCTATCTTGGCGCTGCCTCGCTTCCCCGAAAAGTCCTAGAGGCTAACTATGTTCTTTATATATAAACAACTGGGATCCAAAGCCAGGTAGCTGGCACATTGTTGGGATTTATATTCTTCATGACAGCATCTAGCCAGGCCCCAATCACAGCACTGTCACTCCCCTTGCCAAGACCTCTGGGATAGCTTTGCAGCCTAAGATGGTCGGAACAAACGGAGTTGGTGGTGGACAAAGTGGATTTAGGAAAGATAACATCCAAAACTAACAACAACCACCCATCCCTAGCATGAATCATAATCAAACGCCTGGCCTAGCTATATAATGCTCTTGGGAACGACTGCATCTTGAGTTCACGGAGTGTGAACTCCTTCAAGGTTGTCCGGTGTATCGTGAGCATACACCAACCACAAAAGTCGGCAAAGGCATTCTCCAGTTGCAAATGCAAATTCCCCGGTCCAAAATGCTGGAGGTGCACAGCCACAAAGACCAGGCAAGAGGCTAGGAAATCCTTGCCCCACCCCGCAATGGAAAAACTGTGGGCCAAGTCAACTTTGCAGGCAGTCGCGCTACTCCCTACGGGTCGAAGGTCTCTAAGAGCTGAACGTTCCCCTGCGTGGAAAGGATTTGGTGGAATCCCGTTGCGCTGCCACGTACGGATGGCACCTGATCGCGATAGGTTGCGCCATTCCTCAGGTCCAGCGGATCTACTAGGGTGTCATGAATCACTGCCCAAGACATGAGACCCAAAGGGAAAACATATGATGCAAGGCAGTCTGGGGGTCATGTGCCGCACACAAGTGGCACAACTGTTTACTGGTAAAACCAGCATACAGCTTCCACGCGGACCGCTGCCATGGCCAGTCACCCTTTGTTCCAATGCATTGTGCATAGAACCGATGACGCTGCCCACCATGGACTACCTCCCAGGGAACCAGGGTGAATTGGATGGACTTCTTTAGGAGGGTGACTGGTCGCATCATAAGAAGTAAGAAATCAACGAGATGGGCCTCAATGCCCTCTTCTGCTGCACGATTGAGATCATCCACCAGAGTTGTCAGCAAAGTTTGTAAGCTCCTCCCTTTTGGTGCATACCGTTCTGAGGGAAGAACTGTGAATAGCAATCGTGTTGTCAGGGTATGCCTCGCAGAACGCACCACTGGCCTCCCCCAAACTGGTATTTAGATCATAATTAGGGTAAAGATCACAGAACACGAGTAAAATATGTTTGTACAAATGAGGCACCCGTGTGAGTTGATGGTATCCTCCCCTTTTGCTGATATAGCTGGCTGCACTGAGATGATCATGATCGGGCGCTTGACAGACCCTCGACCTTCATCACCATGTATGTAAACAGGTAAGGTCCTTTTGGGATCTTTGGGCATCACAACTGGGTCAACAAACTTGTAGCGGTCCCAGAATCTTTCCAATATACCCTCTGCGACTGACATGCGGTCTAAAGAGTGGCCAGCCAGGAAGAAGAAACCATTGTACTGGGGTTCTCCGAACGTGAGCTTCATCCAGTCAGTGAAGCGCAAGCATGGCCAAGGCTCAGTCACGATCTTCCTGCGGCGAGCAAAAGCACGGGCTCTCAGCGGGGTATCCACCATGGTGATGGTAAGAGGAAGTGTTTTGTTCTTGACGTGGATGAACCTGTGCAAGTTCCGGCACCCATTACTCTGACGTGTGTCATGCTTTGCATAGTGAGCAAGCTCCGAGATCTGCCGGTCACAAACTCCTTAGGGGCTACATTGAGAAATCTTCCAAGTCAAGCTGTTTTGGGACCCATATTGCATCAAAGAACCATGTTTTTCCAGCAACCGATCTGTGTCCAAGACATACTTCATGACATCCTTTGCGGTCGCCTTATGACAACCGGCCGCAAAGAATTCATTGATATATATATATATGGGTGCACTTAAAGCCACCAAGAAACGCCCTTGGCAAAGTTTTCGATCATGTCATCCACCATTTCTTCCGAACTGGATGAATCTGCAGTACCTCCCAAACACCAAAAAGAAAGGGGTCTAGATGAACAGGTTGGAACTTGCAAGGGTCACATCGCAGCTCTGGTCTATGACCTGTCATGTTGGAAACGTCGAAGCACCAAGTGCTAACAACATCGAACTGTGCAAGTTGCCTATCAATCGTTTTTCCCACGATCGCCAGAGTCAGATTAGGATGAGCATACATCCATCGTGATTGAACCGGCAGTGTCAAACAAGCCAGGCACGATGCATCCCCAAATATGCATTTTGCATGCGTGCATAGTGGCAAGGTTGCAAAACATATCGCATCGTGTCGATGGCTAAACACGGCCAATCAAGAAATGCAAAATGGCTCTACTTGCTAGACTTGGGCTTAGCCGCGGCCTTCTTTTTGGGCCGGGGCTTAGCTCCAGCTTTTGCCTTTGCATCGGCCGATGCACGCGACACTGAGGAAGCATTGCTGGATTTCATTGACCTTGGATTCAGCTGGGAAGCCAAGCTGTGGGAGTGTATGGGAAGAATGTGCACTATAGCACAAAAACATGTAGATGTCAAGCCACTTTCCCCGAACCAGCAAAGCATTCAGGGCCACATCGAGCTTGGTGCACTGCACAAAATTCTGCTGGATCTCGTCGCGCTTGGACCTCCACAGAAAGATCTTTCTGACTTTTCTAAATGGTGGCCAACATGCAGCCAGTGGTGCCACAGTTGCTTCAGAAAGCAAAGAGCACAAAGAGTCATACACTGCCAGCATCTTGGTGTGCGCCGTCCTCAAAGACTCCGCCAGCCTTAGTTGCACAAAGAATAAACACCTCAGCTAGTGATACGTATGTGGGTCCAAGAATGGTAATACATGAAATACCTGTCCAAGAGACTGCTTCGAAGGGTGATCCCCAATCTTCTCAAGGCGCTCCTGCCACCCCACGCAAGTTCCCTCAACAGATCTAAAAACGTGCGTTCATGTGTTTACACTTTAGACACTTGACCCAGTCCAGCTCTTGGGTGCATTTGTCAAGCTTTTTGCCAAGTACTTCAACAAATTGAGGTAGGATCTGTAGTGGGCTTTGCGTGCTGGAGATCGTAGGGAACGACATCCTCAGCTAAGACTTCTAGACTTCTAGAAGCTATAGTATGATGCGTGCAACAAGACCCAACACAGGCGAACCATTTCACTGGGTAACCTGAAGCTCATGACACCAGTGGTGCTCCCAAGCATGGGAGTTCCGGCTTGTCCCGAGGAAGAAGAAGAACCACCAGCAGCGTTGGGGCCACCCGAAATCAAGGCTGCGGCTGGGGCATCGAAGTCCGGAAGATCAGTGGCTAGCAGAGTTCCCTCATCGTCCTGAATATGCATGTGCGTGCATATACGCATGGAAAGGATCTTTTTGCGCACACTGCAAAGATATACATGTGCATGTGTTGCATGCATAGCATGGGCACGCCTGCACTGTGATATTGCCAGACTGCGTGGCTTCTTCAACTTCCGTTGACGTAACGTCAAAACTCTCATTGGCCACTATGTAGATCTCTTCCTCGCCATGCACCTCATTAACCCTGATCTTTGATTGGGCTTTGGCCCATGCCCATGCTTTGATCAGCATATTCCTCAGCTGTATCCGTATATACGTTTCCACGTGCTATATAATGCATGCACGTGTAGAACTGCTGAGCAAAAGTTGAACAAAACAAGTATCTTTGAGTAGCCCTCATTTTTCTCCAGTTTGGCCTTCGTGTACCAGCCACCCTGCTTGGACTTACTGCGGCTCATGGTGTTCTTTCGGACGATTGCCAATTCCATGGCTTGAAATGAACCGTGTTCAAGGAACATGCGCTGCAAATCTTTCCCTTAGTTTGGGCACACATTATTTTGAGAGAAGCCATACATACATGAAACGCGCGTATACCACATGCACAGCTAAGTCAGGCACTCCCCTCCGGAGTGCGCCACATCTTAAGAGCTTCCGGCGAACACTTGAGGTGGCCACCAACTTTGGGTTTGAAGTAGCGGTTCAGCCTTATCAGCCAGCAATCTTAATGTGTCAAGACAAGCTGATGGCATGTACACACCAAGAAACTTCCAGTAGGGGTTTCCTTGGTGTGAAGCCGCTAGGGAAGCAGAGTCACCGGGATCTTCCATCACAGACTCCGTGTCTGGTGTGGGGGCTGGCAAGCATGCTGGTGGTGTTGATGGTGCTGGTGCATGCACAGCTGCTGTTGTTGGTCCGGGCCCTGTGGCCAGCACCGTTGCCGGTTCCGGGACCAGTGCTGGCAGTGCCTGGGTTCGTACAGGGGGAGATGCCTTGGCCGGCGCTGGTACTGCTTGGTTTGGTGCGGATGCCAATGTAGTCGCTGGTGCTGGCATTGCTGCGGCTGGTGCGGATGCCAATGTAGTCGCTGGTGCTGGCTTTGCTGTGGCTGGTGTGGAGGCCTTTGCATTGCCAGGCGCTGGTGCTGCTACCGTTGGCGTAGAGGCCTTTGCATTGGCTGGTGCTGATGCTGCTGCCGTTGGTGTAGAGGCCATTGCATTGGCTGGTGCCTTAGCCGCTGCTGACACGGCCTGGACTGGTGCAGAGGCAGAGGCTGGCGCTGGCACTGCTGAGGTTGGTTCAAAGGCCGATGTATTGGCCGGTGCTTTGGCCGGTGCTGGCACTCTAGCTGGCACAGGCGCGGCTGAACCTGGTGTAGGGGCCTGCGTATTGGCTGGTGGCTTGGCCAGTGCTGGCACTCCTTCGGGTGCAAAAGTCATACTTGCCTTGGCTGGCGGTGGCACAGCTTGGGCTGAGTGTGTAGATCGCAATGCTGGTGTGTCGGTCGGGGCTGAAACTGCTGCCGCATGTGGCGCTGAAGCTGGCACTGCTGGATGCTTTGCTTCGGCGGGAGTTTCTTTTCCATCCGGTAATGCTGCTGGGGTTGGTTTGGCCTGCAAAGCTGAGCTCAACGTTTGGTCAGGCTGGGTGTCTGGGATGGTTTGCTGGGACTCCAACCACACGCCAGGGAGAGCATCAGGGGGAGAATCATTGAGCATCTCTACATCCACAACCGGCACCACTGGAACCGCAGGATTCCCTGCACAATACTGCCCACTCTGCTGGGCAATAGTGGGCGCTCCTTAAAAGGATCAAATGCAGTGGCGTTTCACAAGATACGATTTGACAGAATCAATAAGCAACATTCCCAAAAAAATGATCTGAAAAGTCGGACTGAGGATCCACATATCCCATTGACAGGCCCCTCCTCTGAAGCTTGGTTCGAAAGCTTCCGGCGAATAGCAGCAATCCGAGTTTGGCGAGCCTCATGTGTGAAGCGCGCACGTGTGCATTGAGGAGGTGTCCTGGAGTATGTTTTTTTTGGTCATCAAAAAAGCTATTTCAGGACACCTTCACACGATCGATGTGCACATGCATGTGATATATACATAATATACGGTGAGGAACTTCAATCATAGACTGCAGCTGCCTCTTACGATCTGACATAGACGCATCACCATTTGCATATCCCACACGATCCATCCCTTTGCACAGTGTCTCTGCCGAGTGCAAACGACTGGCCATGTATAGCTAGCACACTTAGCCAAAAAAGTGCTCCAGGGTTGCTACCAAATGTTTCAAAAGCTGATCAAAACTAGTTGCGTTGCGAAAGCATATTTCCAAAAGAGGCACATATTTTTTTTTGCGCCTCTTTGCGGGTATTTGCGCCTTTTTGCGCTTTTTTGCGCCTCGTTTGCGCCCTGTAAATTTCCCACCAAACCAACTGTCCACTTGACTTTCCTGTCATTACACATGTTCAGAGGGGCATTCCATGGTGGGGACAGCCAAATGGGCAAAAACATGCATGCAGTCCGTGTCGTTTGCAGCTAAAGCCACAGCGACATACGTGACAATTGGGAAGACCCTACGTGCACGCGTTCATCCTCAGAAGTTCTTGGTATTGAGAGCGAAGCTCTGGGTCACCTAGCACCTGTTGGGCTTGGAATCAACAACAGTTTCAATTTACTGTAATGTTCGCTGTGTTGAGTGATCTCGGAAACCTTTGCCTCCTGGCGGTACTCTTGCATGAAGCTGTGTATGGCGTCGTGCCAGTCTGGTGGAATCCTGCATGAAGGGAGGCCAGTTGATCAAAAACCATATACATTATAAATGTCCAACATGTTTTTTGGATCCTTAAGTACTTCGATGTCATGACGTACTCCAGGGGTTCAAGCAAGTTGGCATCCAACCACAAATCGTTGCCCATTGGCATATTTGTGAATTGGTCTCTGGCTGATAGATGCTTGTCAAATTCTACCTTGAATCTCAAATCACGCAGCGCAGGTGACACAAGGTGCTGCTCGAAGGCTCTCCGCAGGTTCTCAGCAAAGCCTTCTGGATAGGCCCTGGGCGGACCGGTCGGGACGTGGAAAAGGGTGTCAGGACATAATGATCCATGCATATAATTAGCTATACATCCATGGGTTGCAGACCAGGTACTGAGAACCTCGTAGGTCTCGGGTACCCTGGAATCTTTTTTCCCCTTTGGCATTGTGATATTGACCTGCGTGTGCTCAACAATACACATGTGCACGCATGCATATGCAGTCGGAAAAGTTAACCGATGGCAAGATACGTGTCAACTTCTTGGTAGTACGTTTCTCCTTCTCGGATACTGTCAAGGTCCCCAGATCCAACATGCCAATCTCCCTCATGTTGGAAAAGCATATCGTGGGCTTGCTGCTGGGAGCTCCGTGTAACATCATCCAAAAGCGTGCCATATATACCTGATCAACATGCAATCACATGCATTTGGTTAAACATCGAAAGGGCACGACCGAACCAAACAAAATTACATGGCCGGAAAGGAATTCATGTGCCAGATCAGCCGTCTAGGCACGTAGGCCACTACATTCATAAGCCACTCAAACCTTGAATGCCGAGGTAACAAGCTCCCTGATGGTTGTTCCACCACCCAGATTATGTTCCTGGACATAGCCAGTAAGATACAAAGTACCAGCCTTAGATAGGCCCACACCCAAACTCCCAAACAGTATGTCTTCCAAGTAAAGAGATCGACCCAAACCTCAAAAAAGTCTTTTTTTGGCAAAGGTGGGCTTCCGGCTAACCATCGTTGAAGAACCCCTCACCCAGGCAAGGAATATATTGCCAGCTATGTTGATATAGTTGCGCATGGATGTGCCACACGCTGGAACCCCCCACGATGAGCAGTCGGGGCCGGCCAAGAGTAGGCCATTGGGACACAGGTCAAGAAGCACGGAAACTGCCAACCTGAAACCGGGCATGTGCGGAATGAGCAGCATCGGTGTTTTCGTTGGTTTTCACAAGAGATCTCATGCAATAACAGATCCAAGATACACAAATCCAGCTGGCCCTAGAAAGTTCATGGAGCGTTTCTCAAATTCCCAATCGTAACTTGCAGTTCTATATCCCGAAGCAGTCCTTGAGGCATGCAAGGGAAAAACATGACTGCATGTATACACCACCCATGTGTTTTTTCAATTTATAACTGGGGACGTGACATCACACGGGTGGCAGCCTGCTTGCCTGCAAACAGGTCGAAGAACTCGTAGGGCGCCGTGGGTTTGTTTGGGAGGTCCATCCAGGACACAAGAAGCACCTTGGGCCGGAGCTCACATGAACCCTCGGTCACTTGTGCACGGTGTCATGAACATCCAACGTTGAGCCCGCAACCAAGGCTATGAAGGCCTAACACAACGGCCCATCAAACTTCTTGCACACGCGTGAACATATCTGCAAAGCAAAACGCCCGACCTTCGGGGCCTGTGTGTGTTGCAAAGAGCTCACCGGGTTCCACATGTTGGAACACGTACTACTATAGCTTTAGGCCAAAGTCAAAATGCTGCATTAAAGATGTAACTCACGACTCAAAATGCGCGTGAAGCCATGCGAGTGAACGCTTGCAAGATAGAACTGACCAAGCTCGCCCGGCAGGCCCGCACAAAGCGCCTTCCTCTTCCACATCAAAGAGGCCTGCACCTGGCCGGACTGCGGGCACAGACACGGTAGCAGATCGATAGCCGGTCAGTCAGAAGATGTCAGAAGGTCATAAGTCATATGAAATCACACTGCAGTGGACAAGTATTCACGAACAACTAAAAATGATGGGTCTGTTTTTTCTTTGCGTCTCATGCTGGTACAACTGGCCGCGATTATACACAGCAAGTTGAGTAGCTACCCCTATCACCCCATCATCGAAGGTTTCACTTCGAGAATGCACCCAAGCCGTGTTCTCACGGCAAGTGACAGTGCCTGGCACTGGCACTATCATGAAAGACATATGACATCGTTCGAGTAGAAAAATGCAGCGATCAAGCGCCAGCAGCAGTATAAGCCTTGGCAGGCAAAGTGCATGTTGGGACAGATTTGGTGAAAAGGATTTACAAGAGAGCCCTAAAAAGATAAACAATCCAAAACAGGTTGGATGGGTAAGTGCCTTCAAGAAACGACCTTGCCCAATCGGATTGCTTCCTCCATGGGCTCTCCGTTCTTCAAGGCAGCCCGCTTTGCACAATGGTAAGCCGAGGACTTTGCGGACTGAATCTTCTTCTTTTGCTGATCAGCCTCAGCCTCACCCTTTGGCTTCTCTGACCCACCGTCTCGCTTCTTCCTGTTCGGCTTTCCTGCCCGACTGCTTGGCTTGTCAGTAGAGCTGCCAGCGCCACCGCTTGGCTCAGTAGAGCTGCCAGCGTCACTCGATGGCTTTGGCTTCCTCGTGGATTTTGCCTTCGCCTTCGGCTTTGCAGGTGCTTTGGAATGTCCATCAGCTGTGCGTTTGCAGGCTTTGGAACTTCCCGAACTGGGGCATTCTGCCACAGCATGCCCTTCGGACTCAGACAGCTTCTCATCTCCAGTCTTGGCAATCTTGGTGGG